AAATAAATATATACAAACTCAATACTGAATGCCTCTCCGCATTTCTTCTCAGGAAGAGTCGATAAACTGATATTTCTCACTGTATGGTCAGATTTTTCAAGAAGAGGAGGTGAAAGGGATCGTTTGGGGCATAAAAGGAGATAATTTTTTTCTTTCTTTCTTTCTTTCTTTCATCTTTCCAGTTTCTCATTCGCTTTTCCAGAGCTTTGCATTTGTTTGGATTTTTTCCTTTATTTCTCGCTGGCACAAAACGTTTCGTCTCTCTCGAAATGTTGAGGCGTTTGCCAGTGTGTTTGGGGATATTTTCTTTCACTTTTTCCCTTTGTATAAGAAAATATACTATTTGTAAAAAGCCTACGGTCTCTTACACAGGGAAGCCGGAGGGGAAGGGGAGTTTGGCCGGATCGACCTGGCACTGCTTACGGCAGCTGAAACGAGCACCAAATTCTCCGAGAAACGTATTAAAACACAGCCGAATAGATCTGCGCGATAAACCGGTCAGAAAGAGATGAGCAGGGGAAGGGAATAAGCCCTTTGGGCATAGCTAAAGGTCTTAAAACCATCCTTCTCCCCTCCCACCCAGCCCCAAATGTAAATCTGGGGATTTCGGGGGAGGTTGGTCTGGGATGCAAAGCTTCTCACAGAGAATTTCTATTAGGTGGGACAAGACACGACCCGATTTTAAAGAAATCATCGGGTTGTAAAAGGATTCCCATAAAATTGGCTTCTTGTTTCCTTCACACCTTGTGTGAATAACAACCAGGGATTAAAAAAAAAAAAAAAAAAAAAAAGTCAGGGAGTACATGAAAACAAAGATCTTTCCGACAGAAAATAGAGGAAAAAAAGGAAAAAAAAGTAAAAAAAGCCTAGACTAAGAATGAAATAATTTTTACAACAACCCACCTGTTTGGTTTGAAAACAAACTTTTCATGGTCTCTCCTCAAACTTTTCCCTTGAGTTAAAAAGCAAAGCTGCTGTGTTAATCCTCCTGTTTATTGATTTATGATCCCGAGGAAACCAAATCTTTTAATAACTCAATTATCAGATAAACGTCTGAGGTGCCCCGCCAACACAAGTAGTCAGGCTGGGAAAGTGCAGGGGAAGCAGGAAAATGCCTTCCAGCAGGATGCTGAGTTTGGTTTTGGGGGGACCTCAGTCCTCAGCACTGATAGGAGCCCCTGAGCAATGGATATTTCCCTCTGCAACCAGCACTAGGCTAGGGGGAAGAAGGGAGATAGATATATATACTCCTGTGCCATGTTTTCTCCCTGCTTGCATTTAAATAAGAAACCTCGTGGATTTTTTCTGTGTACTTTGGGGAGCAAATGGGGGGCGTCCCACTGAAATCAGTGAGAATTTTACATTTGGCTTTGTTTCGCCTGAGCAAAGCACAGCCTGGCATTTGCAGTCTGTCTCTTCCAGGTAAAAGGCACGAGAGGCAGATGCAAAGTTGCCAGGAGTCAACTGAAACTCTTCCCTTAACCTTCTCAAGGTTTAGGTCCTGGTCCAGGTGACCAAATCTGTGCCTAGGGGAGATTTAAGCAGCAGCAGCAGGTTCAGGCCCTCACACACGTGTCAGAACGTGCACATGTGTGTGCAGGTGTTTCCTCAAGAAGTTGCAAGTGGTTCCCTCTCCTCATTAAGCTCACAGTGGTGGTGGAATGCTGTCTTCTGCAGTTAAAAGGAGCATCCCCAGCATTCCACACAAAGACAAGGAAGAAGCAACCCCCCAAAGACAAGGAGGGAACATTGCCAACATCTCCCCAAAGCCTTCAGCTGGAAGCTCTGGGGTGGCAGGGAGCAGGTCCCTGTGTACCTACATGTGCAGATGGAGAGGTGGAAGACAGAGAGCTAACTTGGGGTCCCCCCATACCCCGGAGCCCCACTGGGCTGGGTGAGGCTGGAGGGCTGGGTGAGGCTGGAGGACTAGGCCCATGGGCACCTCACCTTTTTTCAGAGGGCAGGCTAAGCAACATTCAACACTATGTGATCACCTTCAATGAACAGAATAGTCTCGTCAGGAGGAGAAGTGACATGTGCTTTCAGGTGATGCCGTTCGTTCCTCCCCAGATACAAACACATGTACCCCTTCCCTTTCCCACACATCACTGCTGGGGCATGCCCTGCACTGGAGCTTGGATTGCCCTTCCTCAGGGGACTGCTGAAATTAGGGGTGGTTGGTGAGGGGTAGGCTTTGCAGAACCAGGGGTTGCCTGGGGACAGCTTTTCAGTCTTGGGGTCCTCAAACCTACCAGTGGGAATCCATGAGATCTACATCACCCAGAGATCCACACGTCCTCTGGTGACAATCCACAGGGTCATGCCAAATACCAAACCCATTGTCAGGGACCTGCCAGAGTCAATGACTACCTCAAACTCATCCCAGCAGCCCATGGAGAAGGCTGTCTGTCTCAGTTTCCCCCTTTTCTCACATGAGGATCCCCACAGGACTCTGCCCTAGAAGGACCAAAGGTACATGAATGAGGAGCATCTCCAGAGGGTCAGCACTTGTTGGGGCTGGATGATTCCTGGGTTTCTACTGCCACACAAGTGTCCAATTCACAGGTAGGGGACAAGAGCCAAGACCTTCACCTGCTGCATGCAGATTTGAAAAGCAGAGTAGGCCCTCAGCTGTAGCCATATCCGAGATAATTAAGGACTGTAACAGTGGCAATCAAGAGGATCATTTGGGTTTTTTTAATTTTAAGAAAATTCTGTTGGGGGACATGGAGGTTATTGTTGAATTATTTCTCCCCCACCATCCACTTTGGATGGCATCTAGAAACTACAACAAGGCTAAGTATTCTCTTTCCTCTCTCGCTCCTTGCTTTAAGTTCCGCTGTGCCTGCTCAGGTGGGTGGGATTGAGTCCTGCAGCTTTAACAGGGATCCCTAGGGGAGGCCTGACCCCACTGGAGTTTTGCCAGCGACTCCAGGAGATTTACCCACACCCAGTAACTGTCCTGACACAAGCAAAAAGATGTGTTAGTGCACGAACCCTACCCCACTGAGAAACACATGCAATTACGCAAGACGTCAGAATCCAAATAGAAATTCATATCCTTACACTTCAGCATTATTTTTACCACAGAAGACAAAGAAATGTATGCTAAAAAAAAAAAAAAGGAAAAAAAAAGGAAAAATCAGACTCCCCTTCCACCCTCCCCCAAATCATATGCAGAAGACATCCTGTCACACACCAAACCACCAAGAAAAACATTGGAGTTAGGAAGTTTTGTTCCCCCCTACCACACCAACTTGTTCTAAAGCAAGAGTCACAAGACATATTTTTTAAAAGCTTTCTAAGAGAAACAGACTTCCTCAGACTGAGCTCAGAAATCAGGATATTCCCTGGCAAACCCTCCCCACTCCCATCACGAGGAGCCAGCTCACATGGCAGCCCTTTCCTCCCTGGGTACAAAACCCTAGTGCCAAGTAAGCACGGTAACTTTCAACACAGCTCTTATTTTCTTTGCAATATTACGCCACGATTTCAACTTATATTTTTATCTCATTCAAATTATTCCCTTTGAGCTTCTTCACAGAAGTGCACCTACAGAATTCGGAAACAACTGGCTTTGATTTGAAAAAGCAAAAAAAAAGAAAAAGTATCAGAATATCAGAATTGTGGATTTTTTTTCTCTGTACCTGATATATTGTGTAGGGATCTCTAGTCCTCTTTGAAGAAGCTCATAAGCCAAGCGGGCAAAGCTTTAGGAAACAGAAGAAAATAAAATAGTGCATACTCCTGAGAAAGAATTACATACTCATATCACTCTTTTTTTTTTTGTTGTTAACAGTTCTTTAAAAATGGGAGAAGATCTCTCTCACACACACTATTTAAGGAAATTAAGGACTGAAACCTTGGCATAGTTAGGAATACAAAACTCCATAGAGAAAAAGAGGAGATCTCAGAAAATCAAGAAATCAGCGCTGACGTTTTACCAGACCTCACTTTCAAATTTTGCAACCCATTATAGAGAAGTCATTTTACCATCAAAGGCAAGTACTAAATTACAAAGGCATGTTTGCATGTGTGAATATGTGTGGCTATACACACATATTAAATATATATATGTATATATTCATATATATACATATATATACAAACATACAGAAGATACACATGCACCCCTATCAAGTTATGTGTGCGCATATGCACGCACATAAGCACACACGCGCCCATACACACCTGTAAACACTGGTAATCTAAACAGAGAGTCTGTCTAGACCAGGAAAATCAAAAAAGTTCTAAAAAATAGAGTTAACTTATTCATCTGATCTACGAAGACTAGAGACTTCCCATCTAATGGCATCTAATATTAAGACGCAGCTCAAACCGGCTGGTGTTGACGACTTCGGGAGAGGTCTGTGCGCTCACTTCCCCTCCTTTCCTAGTCTAGACAGAGCCAGGGTGGTGAGATGAGATGGGAAGAGTTGGGGGGAATGAGGTGATGGGGCTGCTCAGAAAGGAAGGCTCTGGAAGACCATTTTAGCTAGGGTGGAGACAGGACGTCGTTCAAAATGAAAAAAAAAAAAAAGAATAAAATAAAAATAGTAGCAAGACAGACCGTGCAGCTCAAGAAATCAAAGCACTGACACCAAAAATGTTTCTCCAATTTCTTCCAATAAGTTATTCATTTCTTTCTTTTATTATTATTATTATTATTAATTATTATTATATTCCCCTCCCCCCCAAATCATTATTTAAAAAATGTGAAAGAACAGAAGTGGGAAAAAAATCCTGGTGGTTTTCTTCACGCGTTCCTGGCAAGAGACTCTGAACCACTGGTCTTGCGTCATTCTGCTCCTCTGATCTTAAATTATTGTCTCTCTTTTGTTATTATTATTCTTTTTATTATTATTATTTTGTCCTACCTAATAGAATTCTTCCAAAGCCCAATCCAATATTTTTAAATCTAAAAGTAAGACCTTTTTTTTTAAGATTATCTCTCTCTTTTCTCCTTTTATTTATTTAACTTTTTTCTTTTCCTTTCTTTCTTTTTTTTTCCTCTCTCTCTCATTTTCTGTGTTTCTCTTCCTTGTCTCCAGTTTTACTACCTGGTCCTTCGCCAGATGTGTGCCTGTTAGCAGTGTTGTTGTTCAAGAACATCTTGTCCATGCCTTTGAGAGCTTCAGTCAGGTAGTTCTGAAGGGCCGTGAGGGCAGCGCAGATAGCTGGGGCCCCAAAGCCATGAGTGATGAGGCTGAAGTGAGTCAAGCAGCTCTGAATGCCCGGTTCCAAAATAGGGGTGGGCCGGCTGTTTCCAATGGGCGTCCTGTCCTGGGCCAAGAGATCTGTAAATTCTTTACAAAGTTGCCTGCATGGAAAAGAGAAAGGCAAAGAGAGGAAGAGAGAGAGAGAAAAGCAGTGGTTAGGCTCATCCCACACTTTTCTGAGATTACCAAGGTTGAAGAAAGAGGCAGGTTCAGGCCAAAACTGACCCCAAGACCCAGGATAGGACCTTTCGGCCACCTTCCTCGCCCTCTGCAGTGCGTGGAGACTGGCCATGGCAAGCCAGCAACTTCCTGCTCAAGAGGATGTTCTTCAGGAGAGGGGTTCCTACAATTGCAGGATAACACCAGGTCTGGAGACAGAAATCTCTCTGACAGCCACCAGCATGCTTCTAAAACACTGTGGAAACCCATCCCTGCTTGGTGCCTCTAAAAATAATCAGGCTGAAAGGGACAAGAACCATGGATCTCCAAACACTGATCTGCCTGGAGGCCTGACCTTGGCTCAAAGCAGCTCCCGCCAGTGCTGTTCCCGGAGGAAAGCACAACCAAACACTGAGAGCTACTGGTTGACACAGGGACACGGTGCAGGCAAGGGATGAAAAGAAGCCTTCTCTGGGACTGCTCAAGCTGGGCCACATTGTCAAGAAAGATCAGGACTTTGGGACTCCATGCTGGCTTATTCATTGCATGAGGAGCAACCCTAGCACTTCCAATTTTATTTTGGGGGGTGGCATCCCAATTAACACATCAGAGTTGACATCTGACTCTTGTTTGTTTGCCCACACCTTTGAAAAATCAATTTTTATTTTTATAATTAGTTCCTCCCCCTCACTTTCTGTTGCATTGCTCTGGTCTAAAAGGCCTTCAAGTCAACTGGGCAACGTAGAAACCCTGAGGACTGGTGGGTTTCCCAAAGGAATAGTTTCTTTGAGACAGATGCCTACCCAGGGACTGGAGGAAAAAAGAGCCAGAAAAGAAAAAGGAAAAAAAAAAAAAAGAAAAAGAATGAACCCTTAAAAATGGCATTCAGCTCTCATCCTCTGAAATTCTCTGAAATTCCCGGTGGGTTAAAGGTTTCAGAGGGTGGGAAAAGATAAAGGTCTACTTCTATGTGTATTATCCATTAAGAAAGTGCAAGAGAGGAAACTTTGAATTTGGAGAACAAACAGTAATGAGTCCAACATTTTACATCTTCAAAGAGCAAAGCAGGGTCTGTGAGCAATTAAAGTTCTGGGACATTAATATCTTCTGACCCTGCGGAAAAGGGCAATCAAATTCCAATCACGTCTAAAAAACATCTGGACAAATTTGAGCAAATGATTTTTCAACCCTCCATATATTTCTTTAAATTACACTGTCATCGGAGGCAAGCCACCTCCCAGAGCATGAAAGAAATGAGAGTTCTTTGGGCTGGAATTATTTTTGTTTTTGCCTTTTTTTGCCAGATAGACAGATATGTGTGGAGACACAGAAGCACCTACCACCGAGGACGTGAGCAAGCTTTGAAGGACCCAGTTAGTGGCCTGGAAGGCACAGCCAAGGGTAAATCGTGCAACACAACACATCCACCGAGAAAGTTCCAAGGGATAGAGATCGGTTGGGGAGACAAAACCGAGGATCATTAGCAGAACATGGTGGGGGGGGGGTAAAAAACCCCCGCTTTTTTTTTTAAGTTTTTCTGTATTAAACTATATGAAAAAGACATTGCATTTTGGTAGCAGACAAACAGGTGTGTGTGAGCAGCAGAAGGGACAGACAGACATGCTGTGGAAGCAAAATATAGATTTTTTGATCCCCTTTCCATAAAGATTTTTGAACTGGGGGTGGCTTGGAGACGATGTACGGTAGCTGGGGGACAGTCACCTACGTGCTCTGTAGGGACAGCGTGTGTTGGCAGAAACCCCACTGCAGAGGGACGCAGCAGCTATAGGATCTACCCTGCCCAGAGGGCGATACGAGCATCCTTCCTCCCTGCGGGGCCGATAGAATCTGGGGTCTGGAAACTCCGTCTGGTTTCAAACCGAGCTCAGAGGAGGGGTTTAAGGAGGAAGAGGATTTCCTCGGGGGAAGGCAGAAGGAGCGCGGGGGGTTAACTTCGCACTCACTTTGTAGCAAGCAGCATGTTTTTCCTGGAGTGGAGGTCGCTGGGGTCCGTGTGCTGTCTGTTCAGGTACTCAGAAACAGCTTTGGCTGGGAACTCCGTTTCGCAGATGTACCCAAAATCCCGAGCTAAATGAACGGCCTCACCTGGAGGGAACGAGCGAGGCATTAACACCTCCGGCCACCCCAGGGCACCCCCCCCTCCCCGGGCTGGCTCCGACCTGCCGAGGCCCCGCGCGGCTGCCCACACGTC